TCAACTCTGATTTACCTCCGCGGTCATTCAAGAGTATTTAGACCAAAGATCTCTCAATATCTACAATGTAATTTCCTATTTTATTTTTTCATTGGCAGAACAGAACAATAAATTATTGAAGATGCGTCAACGTATTAATAAAAAAATTCTCGGACAAATTTGGTATACAAAAGTTGGATGCACTTTTGATAATAATAAAGTATTGATACATTATTAATTTTAGTAATTAATAATGTGTTAATGCTTCAGTACGATAATTACCAGATTAGAAATTAAGATTATTGATCTCCAAAAAAAAAAAAATAAAGATTATTTTCTTTCTTTTTGGCTACAAAATTCTCGACTTCCTCTTCCTAAGTAACAAACCAATTGTAGGTAAACTTGGATTTTAGGCCCAAAGCTGCTTTTTTCTTCGACATTATCAATGACAAAACGGATTGCAATAGCATCGGGTACTTTATGTAGATTGCAATAGCCTGCGTCCCGATTAATCAAAGATTTCAAATGAGAAGAAAAATCTAATACTTCACTTGAATTGTGAAGGACTACGTCACAATAAATCAAATATCCCATTTGAAAAGAAGCATCGAAAGTCTGTCTCAGGGTATAGTGTCGCAAGTTCCAAGCAATCGCATAAATCTAGAGTTATAAGAGATATCATGTTGTAAATGTTATTGGTGATATAGTAAAGACTTGTACAGTCTCTCAAACTCAAGAATCTAAGGTTTGGAAGAAACCCAATAGATTCATGAACCGTGCATAAAGTTGTACATTGATCCATACCAAGGTACTCGAGACTTGATGCCCCTAAAAAGTTTGGTGTGTTTTCAAGTTTTGTGCAACCAGAAAGGTGTAGAAGTTTCAAATAACTTAGGGCATGTTTGATGCATAGTATAAGATAAGGTCTGATAGTATAAGACCTGCTAGTATAAGATCTGATTGAATATTAATACTATCCAGCGTTTGGCACGGTATTGTATAAAATAATATATTATATAAGATAATATCATCTAATATTTGGTAATGCACTGTATAATACTATATAGGATAAAATTAAATATTTTTAATAAAAATATCCTTTACTAAAGAATTTATATAATTCTTCAAAAAATGTCACATGATATAATTTTTATAAAAATTTATTGATTAGTGTGTCCAAACATAAAATTTATTTTTATAAAAATAAAAATATTCAATATTCAATATTTTAAAAATTAATATATTGAAAACTTAATTTTTATTTTAATATATTAATATTAAAATAATATATTAAGTTTTGAGAAATACACTGGTCAACGATGTTAATACACCAATCTCTTATCAGGCCTTATCCCTCCCCCTTATGCCGGATTAAATTATACATCATTTTGATGTATTAAGGGATCCTGCTGTATAAGCTTATACTATACGATGATCACACCAAACAACTAAAAATGTCATAACGTATAGTATAAGCTTATATTATCAGCCCTTATAAGTCACACCAAACTGCTACAGTTTTGCAAACTCAAGAAAGCAAGAATTGTGAGGAGCCCAATTGATGAATGGACGTGGCATATGAATAAATTTTTGGTACTACTGCTGTACCTAGATTAAGTGCATTCCATGAATGAGAGCTTTACACATCAGAGGAGAGAAAAAAAATTTGACAGCAAAAAAAAATATTTTAGCCGACATGTAATATTCTCATTGATGGAATGCACTGAATCTTTGGTACAACAATAGTACCAAAGATTTATTCGTGGCATAGATTTGTAAGGTCTAGGCGCTCAAGTTGTGGGATCCCTTCAAACATTGGAGTTGCTCAAATCCATCCTTTTAAAACAGGGAAGATCCTACGAAGAGAGAATTAGTAATTGTTAGCGTGTTGTATTAAAACTTGAATTTCATTAATTCACTTTGATATATGCCTTCCAAATTAGAGTAAAAACTTAAAAAAAAAATAATAATAATTATGTCAGCTAACTTGCATTAATATGGAAAAATAAAATTAGAGAAAATTAGTTTGATTTTGGCTCATTTATGTACAAATGTTTTTCAAAATCCAACCCCAATCATCATGCATGTCATTAAATTAGTTTGAGTAAAGAAGACTCATTTACTAGAGTAAATGAATTACTCGAGTAATTGGTCCAATTACTTCTTAATTATCGATTAAACGTGGCAAATTAGTATATAGTTTTGATAAAATGTTAAAATTAATATATAGTTTAAAAAGGGGATAAATTGATAAAAAAAAATGTACATACCATGACACAATGATCAATCACCTTTAAGAACTAAACTCTTGTGAACTGAATTATACTGTACTTGAAAGACTAACTTTTTCTTTTTTAACATTTCATGAACTGTACAGGTTTTTTGTTTTAAATACTTCATGAACTGAATTACTTTTTAAAAAATTAATTTATGAACTGGATTGATTTTCCAAAAATCAATTCATGAAATTTTCTTCTTCTCCTCATTCTCTTATTTATTTATTATTACTTTTCATTATTTTATTTCTGAAGTTTTTCATTTTTACTTTCTTTTTTTTTCTCTTTTTTCTCACTTATTTAACTTTGTTTTCGCTATATTAATTTTAATTTTTTTTATTATTTATTACTTTTTTTTTAATTTCTAGTATCATTTTATTATTTTTAACTCTTTAATATTTTTTTCTCAATCATTTTGTACATTTTGTTTGAGTTCATCTCTCACCGATGACAATTAATTTGAGATAAATGTATTGTTAATAAATCGAATTGGTTTTTTTAAAATCAATTAATCAACCAAACTGATTTTTTTTTATTCTCCTCAATTTTTATCATACACAATCTTTTACTTATAATTTTTAATCATTGTGCTAAACTTTTATACAAACTGTAACATTGATAAGCACACGATATTTTTGTTATCAAAAAAAAAAAAAAACACACGATATTTTGACATGCTACTGTGTTTGATTCAATTTATTGAACTCTAATTCTTCAATCTATTGTTCATACATGATTGTCGTACCAATTCTGGACTAGTTCAAAAAATTAAACTAATTTAGTTCTCTCAACTAAATTGTTTTTCACCAGATAATTCTCCGAATTAAATTATTTTTTTGGTTTCAATTCGGAGAAAAAAAAAACAGAACTGAGCTGTGTAGACACTTGAGTAAAACCACTTATCCAAACTCCAGTCTCATTCCAAATAAGACCACCACACGGAGCAACCTGGTCCACATTATTGACAGTATTGAACGTAACCCATTCCCGCTCTGGAGCTTGCCAACTTCCAACTTCCAACCTGTACGGTACTGTTAGAGGAGTAATGGATTCTTGCTTGACAGATTTGGTGCACATGGTTGAGGACATTGGCGGATCAATTTGGTTGCCAATGTATACAAGTGCACACATAAATTTGGTCACACAATTTTTTTAGTAAAAATAAGATATATTTTTTAATTAATTAGGAATGTCATTTAGGGAGCAATTTTAGTGAATGCATTGCTAGAAATACAAACACATACTAAGAAAGAAACACATCTTATGTACTGCTTATGTTTTAGTGATTTTATATCATTAAATTGAATACTATTTTTTTATGTTAAGTTGAAATTTTCTTTTCTTTTGTTGTTTGAGGATTATATCTCTCATGTTATATTAACGAAATTTTTTGTTATATAAAGAAAAAGACAAGTTATATAATATTAAAAAAAGTAAGATGACACATTATTCAATAAATTGGTCTTGTTTTTTTTTTAACATGACAAAAAATTTGGTTCATATAACATGAGGGATATAAATCCCTTTTTGTTTAAATTCTTTTATTTTTTAATGTATTTAAAACTTTGTTTTAAAAAAAAAAATCTGAGGCGTTGCCCTTAAATTACCTCCACTAAATATTCGACTAAATATGCACCTATAAATAATTTTTTTTGGGTCCGGCCACTGTTTTAGGATAACCATGTTTGGCTTAGCCGGTCTTACGAAATTCACTTCATGCGAACTTTTATTACGCCATGTCCATTTGTAGCAGCAAGTAATGCTTCTTTGCCCAGATTTCTAGAAGTTATTGATAATCTACTCTTCCCTGTCAGTGGAAAAGTAGTAGTTTTCTAATCTATAGCATTAACCAAAGACTTCTAGCACATCTTAGCGCAAGGTCATTCCCGCAAAACATGCAATGAAAGATGTCTCCTGCTCTGAAAGGCAATGCATACAATTAGGTAAGCCTTGGCACCATTGTTCCCATGTGTCCCTTGTGGTAAGCCGAATGTGAGCTAAAGTCCAAATGAATAATTTGATCTGTTTGTGGACCCTTCCAACTCCAAATGCGGTTCCAAATTGGATTAGGAGTAGTAGCATTGATGCCCATTAGGTGTCAATAAGTTGCTCGAACATCAGTTTTACCCTGCTTCTTGTTCTTCCACATTAGAGTGTCGGGTCCAGCATCCTTCTGAGGCGGTAATATTGCCTGAATCCACCAAATGGTGCTCCAGTCCAAAAATCTGTTGCAATTCCCCTCCCTATCCACCCAGTCAGTAACTGTGAGTGATGATCCTCAGCGGGAGGCTTGTTGATGGCTAAGTGTAGAAGATTTGCGCCAAGGCCAATCCAATGATCCCTCTGAAACTTGATGCTGGTTCATCTCCAATCTCCCAATAGAGGCAGTTCAAGAAGGAACTCCAAACTTTTCTCAGCTTTCTCCAGAGTTGAGAATCACAGTTTATGAATCACCTGACTCCTAATATCAGCTCCTCGACCATATTTCCCTGTCCAACCATGCAAGCAAATGAAAAGAATATTCCTTGACATTACACTGTTAATTATTTTAAACATGTCCCCGTCAAATCTTTCATCACCAACACACAGCACAAAGCATGTTTGCCATTCTAAGCCATTGATGAAAATATCTTTTCAACAACTAACACTTTGTTAACTTCCTGCAAAACAAAGACAAGGAAAAGGTACCATCAGATGAATCATTTCCCTATAAAGGTGCAAAATCAAAATTATTTGACCAATCTTAATGGTAGAGGTCATGCCAAAGTCAAACAATAATGGCCAGCTTCATTGCTGGTGACAATAATACAATATTATGTTGAAAATCACCAAGTTATTCAAGAACTTTTCATAATCAATTTTGTGCAACAGGAAACTATGAGGCTTGTTAAAACTGAACGTCAGAAAAACTCTGCTCATTTAGGCAATTTTCTCATTTCCAACCAGAAAAACAAAGCATAAGGATCAGATACAATGCAAGGAAAATAAAACAAAAATTTAAAACTTGATATTTATTCCCCTTTTAAGAGTAATTCATAAAACAAGAAATTCAAATTCTGCATTGTATTTTACAAACGAAAATTTCACACTAATAGATTGAAAATTCAAGGTTATTCCCATTCTCCTTTCAGACAATCATCTAGAAAATCTAACAAATACTGAATTGAAGCTCCTAAGTATATACTGGGGCTTCACTGACAACAGTGAAATGGTCACTCTTCACGACAACAGGCTCGGACCTAAAACACTTTCTAGATGATCTAACATTTTCTTTGCTTGGATGATCCAAAACCAAGGTCCGCATCCCAGAATTGCCAGAACAAAGCACCTTCCTTCTTTCCAAATTTCAATGCCAGAACCATCAGTTGCCTTTGTATATAGTTTCATCATAGGCTCAGCCATTTGCATCCAACCAAATTCAGAGCCCTTACTGCAGATTTTCCATTCTCACTTTGGGACCATCTGGAGAAAAAAAATGTTGAAATTTCCACATAAAAACAGCAGAGGACGCAGGACAAAACTAAACATCAAGAGCATATGCGAAAGCATATGTTGGCAAATTGGATAAGAGGGGAAAAAGTAGTCCAAACTTCTAGAAAAATTTAGTATTGTTCAGGATGATCCCCAAATTACTCTACAACAAGTTTTTGTTGTTTTATAGAATAAAAGGTACTACTGTTTTGTTAATTTCAGAACAGGAAAAAAAAGTTCCTGTTTTGTTAAGTTCACAACAGAATATAGTTTCTGTTTGCAAAACCAAAGACATAGTTTCCAAATTATATAATATCCAGCAATGTGTTTTGATTGAACAAAATATTATGACAAAACGAAATGATCATTTTCCACTATATAGTACAGTTTATTATACGAAGATGCTTCAAGTCTATCCTTCAGATGATATCCATTTAACAAGTAATATTTTGAAAACAACCAACACTAACATAAACAAAGATTAAGCATCACTTATGTCATAGGCTAATATTCAAAGCATATTCCAGCTTGAGCTTATGCATCCACAAGCATGTTTGTTAAATATGTTCTCACAGAATGATACTTTGCAATCAAACTTCGTTATGGTCAACTCTGATATGCCTCCTTAGTCTTTCCAAATAATTAGACAATAGAAGGTATACTAGAACTAGATTACTTTACAATTAAGCTTCACTATAGTCAACTCTGATATGTCTCCTTAGTCATTCCAGAGTAATTAGACAAAAAGAACTCCCAAATGTCATTTCCTATTTTATTCTTCATTGGCAGAACTGAACAATAATTAATTATTGAAGATGTGTCAACATATTAATAAAAACATTCTTGGATAAACTTGGTTACCAAAGTTGTATGCACTTTGATAAACTTAGTAATTAATAATTAATTAATGATGTGTTAATGCTTTAGTAAGATAATTACCTCAGGGCTTGGGGAAGATGCTGTGTGGTTTCACTACGGCTGACCTAAGTGAAGGAAGGCTGTATTTTCTTTGCCCTTGGCTCCACGATTCTCGTCTTCCTCTTCCTTAGTAACCAACCAATTGTAGGGAAGCTGGATTTCAGGACACAAGCTGCTTTCTTTTACATTATTAATGACAAAGGGGACTTCTTCTGCATCCGCGTCTTCCTCGACTACCATGCGTAACCCCCATTCTTTCATCATGAGACCTGGGCGGGCTTTAAATGTGATACGCGCTCCTGTTTTCACAAAATGGCAATGCTCTCGAGAGATATAGATTATCCAAAGATATTTTGATCCAACAATCTTGTTCAGTTCCAAACTGAGTGGCATATCAAAGCATTCTTCCGTGAATTCACTTTCAAAAGAAAGATAAAAAGGATGTGGTCGTGACAAGGAGAACCAATCTGGTGAACCAGACATCGCAATATGATTGTTTATCTCAAATGCTACACAGAAGGCAAAACCATTCCAGTTGTCATTCACATCAAAACCTTCTATCCTTTTTACTGAAGCCTCGTTAAATTGATGTCTGAACCACCAAGCCTCGTTAAATTGATGTCTGAACCACCTAGGAAGAATACGATTTGATGAAGAATCAATAATTTTCCAATCCCAAGGAATAACAATGTCAAAGCCACACCGGAAGTGTCGGGGTTCCTGGTACCAAACAAAAAACCACACAGATATATCAGAGCTAGAGAGAGATAGTGGAAGGAAAGGCATGCTAAGTGTGTACCCTAACTAATCTTCTTTACGCACCTCAATTAGTCTTTCAAGCCACCGAAATGCAGTCTCCCAGAACCTAGCAGCAGCCAGCTTGGGGCAATCAAAAATATATAATCCAGACCTATGATCACGGGATCCGGATGCCGTTTCAAAATACCTTCCCACTGATGAATCACTTGCCTGCGGATACGGAAGCTCACGTAAAGATTGAAGCTCATGGCAATGCGCCAAGTTTAAATATGCTAGCCTTTCAAGCCTCCCGATGGTAGAAGGTAATGAAACAAAGTTGTTTCCCTCTAGATTTAGTCTTTCTAAACACTTCACCTCTCCAATACAAACGGGTATTTCACTTAGATTGCAAAAGCCTAAATCTAGAAGAATCAAAGCTGGAAAGTTCGTAGAAAAATATAAAGACCACCTTGGGGGTAGTTTTCTAAGTTCAAAGCAGCCATGGAAATCTAGAGTTATAAGAGATTGCATGGTGTAAACCTGATAGGGTATACTCACAAGACTAGTGCAGTCTCTGCAACTTAAGAATCTAAGCTTTGTACGAGTCCCAATTGATGGATGAACCGTAGATAAGCTAGTACATTGATCAATATCAAGGTACTCGAGATTCAATGCCCTTGTAAAATCTGGCATTTTTTCAAGTTTTGCGCAACCAGAGAGGTCCAGAACTTTCAGAGAACTTAAATTAGTGTAACAGCCAAAATCAAAGACAACCAGACTGCTACAGTTTTGCAAACTCAAGAAAACAAGTTTACTCAAAATTCCAATTGATTGATGGACATGGTGTAGGTTTGTACATCCTGTGAGATCTAACCGCTCAAGATTTGGGGTCCCATCAAAGATTGGAGTTTCCATAAGATCTTTAGAGTTGCTCAAATCTATCCTTTTTAAAAAGGGAAGATCCTGTGAAAAGAGAATTAGCAAATACCAATTAATTAGCATGTTGTATCAAAACTTGAATTTCATTTATTGATTTACTTTGGCATGTAATCAGAATTGGAGTCAAAAGTTTTATTTATAAAAAAGGAGAACGAAAGTGAGAAAGTAAATTATGATTTTCTATAATTTAATAAAAGTAAGAAAAAATTATTTTGAAATAAATTTCACCTCTCACGTACATTTGTCATTTTTAAAGAGCTCTATCAAAAATTTTAAACACAATAAATTTTTAAGTAAAATTTTATTAAGGTACCATAATACCTTAATAAAAAAAATTGTGTTTAAATCGGTATAATATATGCTACTTCTTTCAAGAAATAATTGAGAATACAATTTTTTTTTTTTAATTAAACAAAAAAGTAAATGTTAAAGGGAAATGTTATAATATATGCTACTTATTTACAATTTGTTCTTTAATTAAACAATTTGTGTTTAAATCGGTATAATATATTCATTTACAATTATTAAAAGGGAAAAGTTCAAAAACCACCATATGGATTTTTAAGAGAAATCATTCTCTTAATATCACTTACCTCCTTGTGGAATTTTTTTTTTTTTTTATCATTTACCTCTTTATAATTCTTTTTACAAGAGTAAAATGGATGAAAAAAGCCATAGGGGGTAAATGATAAAAAAATAACCATAGGGAGTAAATGATTCTAAGAGAAACCACAAGGGATTTCTGAATTTTTCCCTTTTTTAAATTATTATGTCATTATAGAATGAAAAAAAGAAAAGAAAATCCAACTATTGTGCCACTTCTTTAGAAAAAGAATTGAGATATATAATCGTTTGTTCCCATTATTTCTTGGGAAATGATATTGTAACAACCAGTTAATATTACTACCAATTAATTTCATCGTTAGATCGATTAAACAGTTATATTTATTTCCATCTTTCTATGGTTATGATTCCCTATATTTAATACTTTACATTTATCTCCACCTTTGTATGATTATGATTTCTCATATTTAATGTGAAAGCATTAAATAGAAAAAATCATAACCATATAAAGATGAAAATAAATATAACCGTTGGATTAACATAATCCATCTAAACGGTGAAATTGATTGCTAATAATATTGGTAGTAATACTAATTGGTTGTTACAATATAATATCCTTTATTTTTTTTAAATAAAAAAAATGAAAAGCAAAAATATTAAAGTACCTTGCGGCCGTCCCACAATCGTTGGATGCTGCTATTACGCATATTCAATTCAACAAGACCATAGGGCTCAAAATTGGATGGCAAAGAAGTGAAAGGGTAATCGCGCCACATAAGACATTGCAGGCTGTTAGGAAGAAAATTGAGGTCTCCTGAAAAATTCATATGATTTAATATGAGCAATCTAAGGCTTGTCATCTTCGACAATCCTTCCGCACTCGCACCTGCAATCGCCTGAGGACATTCGGAAACATCTTTTTGATCTAGAACTATAGCTTTAACCTTGTCTGTTCCCTAAAAAATATAAGAACAAACATATGTTTTAAAAATTGGAAAAAATGAAATCACTTGAATTAACTGAACTTATTTTTTGATAGAAATAAAACCTTGTCTATGACTACATATCTTTATTAAATAATTAAAATCTTTAAACTTTCTAATGAAAAAAAAAAAAAACAGGAAGATCAGGGAATTCAAATTCTGAAAGATGAGTTGGTACCGTTTTTGTCATCGAGACATGATGGAAATCCAGGTAACGCCACAATCTACTCCATGATCCTGGTTCTTGGGGAAATTGTTGCCGAACAATATGCTTTCCCAATTCTTGCAACATTTCATGCATATGAATTTTCTCATTTTTAATGATTATGAGTGATGTCTCAATGAGACGTTGTATTCCAATGTGAGGGTGTAATCCACAAGCATCTAGAATTCGTTTTACATAATCCACTCCCTCCCCTTTAAAGAAACAAGCAATGTGTAGAAATATTTCCTTCTCCTCATGTTGTAGTCCATCAAAACTTAAACGAAGCACATCCATAATATCTTTGTCTGGATTATTCTTCAATCTATCCAAGGCGTCTATCCAGTGGGGAGCATCTCGGGTACACAAAAAAGAACCCACTACACTAATTACTAATGGAAGGCCTTTAGCATATTTTACTATCTCAGGGATCAGCTCTACAAAATTGCTGCTTGAATCATCACTTTTGAAGGCTTTTCTGCATAAAAGTTGACAAGCGTCGTTATCATTCATCAATTGAGCCTTATAAACTTTATCTGCTCCATACGCTTTAAGAATATGTTCATCTTCAGTGGCTACAATCATTCTACTTCCTGCGCGAAGCAATTTAGGATTTATAGCTAATTCCTGTAATTGCTTTAATTGATTAACATTGTCAAGAACTACAAGGACCTTTATCTTGTGTAGCCTATCTGTTACAATTCCGGATATTTCAAGAGGATCGTATTTGTCTAGATCTTCTTCTTTTAGAGTTTGACGAAGAATATGTTTCTGCAAATCAGTAGCACCACCATCTCTATAAATTTTGCTTACATCCTCAATAAAACAGCAGAAGTCAAACTGATAAGAGATTCTGTCATACAAGACAGTAGCAAGAGTTGTTTTTCCTATTCCACTCATCCCCCAAATTCCCAAAACTCGAAAATTATCCTCCTCTGAGCTTAATTTTAAAAAGCTTTCTAATGTTGCTACATGAGGTTGTATCCCAATAACATCATGCATAAACCCTGAGAATTTATGACCCAATGTTTTTATTACCTCGCGGAGAATTTTTTCAATTTCTTCAAACTCTGGCCTGAAAGAGAAAGTGAAAAAATAAGATCACTAAATTATCAACTAAGAAAATAAGGAGAAAATAAAAGTAGAAATTCATGTTTGGATAATATATTAATGGATATAAATTTGTTGCTAACCAGAAACTCATGTTAAAAATAAAATAAAATGACCATAGTACTCACTTATTCCTGACATCCCAACCAGCTAATCCTGCCAAATCCGACATAGCTTCCTCCCATCGATCAACCTTGGCTTCATCTTGTTCAAATCTCTTAGTGTGTAAGAGAAAGGCATCCTCGTACACCCCATTCTGTTTTCGTACATGAGATGGATCCACATCATAGAAAATTGGGAAAACAGTTTGTTTCAAATTTTTACGGCATGCATTTATAGAAGCCATTTCATCCAAACACCATGTTGAAGAAGCATAATCTGGGGAAAAGACAACGATAGAAACCCGTGAATCTTCAATTGCTTGTAAAAGCTGTGATTTAATGGGTTCTCCTTTCCCGAGCCGTTTGTCATCCTTAAAGGCAAAAAGACCTTTCCTGGAGAGATGAGCAAAAAGATGGTCAACAAAAGAGTTGCGAGTATCACTACCTCTGAAACTGATAAACACATCGTATTTACAGATCCGCGGAGATGACGTGCTGCTTTGGATGCTATTGAAACCCTGATCCAACGAGTTCAGACCGGAAGAGCTTGAAGCTTTACCTCCCTGATCCAACGGTCTTGGACCAAAAGATGGCCCACAACCCAACAGGGCCCTAAACGATCGCAGGAGCTTGGATCTCCAAGAGAGTAACCTATCTTCGATATTATTACGACGCATCTTATCAATCAATCAAGTAGCCCACAGCCACTGGAAGTACGGTTCTCACTGTTGGGAGAGAATGAAAAGAAGAAAGTAACTTGGTATTTGGTAAATATAAGAGATGAGAGTTGCAGTCAAAGACTTACCAACGAGACTTGAATATGATTATGTAGATGATGAGACAGTGTTCAACACTTCAACTTAAATAGAGATGAGAATAAGATTTCACATCCTCAACAGATAATTCTAACCTTTGATTAAAAAATACAGTATTATTTTGAAGTGTAGATGATCCATATTCGAGATTGAGAACTTGGATTGAACATTGGGTGGAAAGTATGGAGAAAGGCTATGCGGATATGCTTTTCTTTAGGAAGGAATCAGGTATGGAAACTGACAAATGTAGTTTACTTTTCGGTTTGGTCCCTTGTCAAAAGTCAACGAATTTAAGTATTTAACTCTCAAACTTGTGAAGATGTATTCTAAATGCCTTGATTTAATGTGTTAATAAAAAAAGATTAAAAATGTGTTAACGATTACATTGACAACTTTGGCACATACAGGTATTATTATTTGATAACAACATCTTGACTTGAAAATTAGGTGAGTCCCACGATCTCTGTATTAATGTTCGAAATAAAAAGGTTACTAATAGGAAGTTACCGACATGGGTTCCACGTACCACGCTGAGCATCTTCCTCCCCACATAGAACAAGGAAGCAATCCTTAAATATCTTCCTAAATAATCAATTTATTAAATTTTTTTAACTGATAATATTTTTTTCTGGTTGTCAAATGAAAATAATTATTATCTAAAATTCAAGTCAGGTTTTCCTTGTCATTAGGAAGGATTAGGCGATTACCCCCAATTCCCCAACTTGGTATTGCTTGGGGTTTCTATATCTTGAATTTTTCTATAAAATTTTCTTGTTCCACCGTATATGCTTTTTTTTTTAAAACACACAATTTAAAACATTTTTAAAATGTTTTTGTATATGATTATTTATTAATAAAAATATATGCATATACGTATAAAATTTCATTTAAATATCTATTTAACTTGGGCTTTACCATTGTAATTTCTCATCTGATTGGTTGAACGCTGAGTTTCAAAATAATGATTAGATGTTTTTACTTTTTAATGTTTTACATCATTTATACTATGCGGATATATCATTTAAAAAAGTTATTTTAAACTTTGTCAAGGTAAATCTCATTAGTCCGGTTTTTTTTAGGGAAAATTTCATTTTCATCCACTAATGATTTTGTAATTTATCGTTTGGCTCCCTGTGATTTTAACCTTATCAGTTAGACCCACTGTGCTGGGATATTTTGTCATTTAACCCTCTATGGTTTCAAATTTTCATTTACACTCCTTGTCGTTACAAAAATTTCACTTAGACACCTTATGATTTAAAAAATAAATATTTTTAAAAATAAATTTTCTCTTTTTTATTTTATATCCTCGTGTAATGTATTCATGGTTTAAAAAATATTTCAAGTTATTTATTTTGAAATTAATTTATAAATTATCTTATTTTTAAATATATTTGAAATTAAAAAATATTATTTAAGATAAATTAAATATGTATTATCAGAATAAGATATTTACTTTCTTTAGATAATTTTATAACGACGTAGGGTAAAAAATAGATAAAATTAATAATATTTGATTTGAATTGAATTTATTTTCTTGATAAAAATAAGTGAATTTTTTATAAATTCATTTTTATTTTTTAAACCCTAAATGCATTATTAGGTGAGGATATAAAATAAAAAAGAGAGAATATTTATTTTAAAATTTATTTTTTAAAATTTTTATTTTTGTAACCACAAGGGGTCTAAGTGAAATTTTTTCTAATCACAAGGTGTCTAAGTGAAAGTTTGAAACCACGAGGGGTTAAATGATAAATTATTTAAGCACAATGAGTCTAAGTGATAAGTTTAAAATCACAGGGGGTCAAATGATAAAGCACAAAACCACAATGGTTGAAAATGAAGTTTTTTCCTTTTTTTTAATAACAATTACAGTTTAAACTTTTGTATACAACGTTTTATATGATCAGTTACATGCATTGTCAATAAACCTGGACAGTCTGGCTGAGTCGACTTGAAAATCGATCATATAATTAGTTTGGGTGAAACAGCGAATTGGCCATGCACTAGATTCGGTGTGGCCCGACCAATTTTGATGAAAATTGATGACCTGGTCGGTTAACCAATCACCCGACCCGATTTATTTAAAAAAAAAATTACAATTTTTTTTAAAATAAAAAATCATAATTGATATATTTGAGTAATTTGTTGCTTATTGACTTACCTAGATTATGTACATACAATACTAATATTATATCAATTAAGTACTATGTAGGAAATTTTAATTTGATTTATAGATGTCGTTCCTGAAACACTAATATCACAAGCATTATATATTTATTTGATCTTTTATTAGATAATAATGTGTAATTTATTATTTTTATATTAAAATATTTAGAAATTATACTATTATTTTCAGCTATTTGAATATGTTTATAATCTTTTAATATACATTATAGATTTACATATAATTATCGTATCATGAAGAGTTCAATCAATGACCTAATATTGAGTCATTAACCAGGCCAATTTTAATATCATCGGTTACATGTTTACTTATGCTTACTAGTCTGGACATAGAACTTTTTAATATTTAGAAAACATTCTTTCCAATTCTATATTAATTTGTACACAAGTTATGAACAAAGGTATTCGTGGGTTTTTACTGATTTCACCCTCAATTATTTTTTTTCCTTTTTTTTATTGTGATTACTATTATATTTATTTTCTTGCATACATTTTACGTAAATATTATAAATATTTTAAGAGAAAAATATTTCCGCAGTTAATGCAGAGAAGTTATCTGCATTTATCCCCAAAACGACGTCGTTTTGGTATTGAAATCTTAAAAATTATCAATATAAAGACTATTATAACCCTAAAATAAATTAAAATTACAAAAACACCATGATTTCCGTCCCAAAACGACGTCGTATTGACTTACTGCAGATAAGTTATCTGCAGTAACGGCAGAAAAAGCGAACCCATATTTTAAACTTTAAAATAAAAAAGCCTGGTCGATGCAACCTCCTTATGTTTCAAACATTCTTATTGAGTCAAGTAAAAAGTAATTTTGCTTAACAAAGCGCTTTTTGTTTTCCTCGGTATAGCTTTAAAATGAACTAGCGATGCACATCCTAATCCTTTTATTTAGCATAAAAAAGTTATTTTGATTCATATTCTTGTGATTGAACAACCTTTATAAAATAACAAAACCGTACCAGCACAAGCATAAAATAAAATTGATTATATACTTTCTTATTTTTTTCCTGGAAAGACAAATTTATAGACTCGGTCATACATGAAATAAAATTAAGAGCGAGGAACAGAGCAATCAAAACACGCATTAAAAAATAACAGAGTTTCGACGCAAGCCACTTTCTGAACCATCTCATAATTTTCCACGACAACTTTTCCATTAATACAGCTAGCATCCATGAAAGCAAAGGACCACATGGAGCTTGAGACCCACTTTCTCAACCTTCTCATATTTTTCCATGACAACTTTTCCAATAATTTCCCGCCAAACGGGGAGCCCATCATATCTTAGGCCAACTGTAATTGTTGTAGCAAGTTTTGCTGTACTGCATCCAAAGTCAACACCACAAATAACAAATATTGATCGATGACGTTTTTTATTTTGAAATGATAAATCCAAATCTGAAAACTGTTGCTATTTATTCTCAATTTATGATTACGTAACCACCACATAACCATGTATTTTACTTTTTTGTTCATATATATCCTATACGAGGATATGACTTCTATGTAAATGTGATGACAAATAAGAATTAGATTTTACCTTACTTTTGTATCTCTTTCTATTTCCTCTGATATTTCTTATTAATTTTATAATATGTTATCAGCACGATAATCTCTTCCATACCAAAGAGATATTTTCCATTTTTTTTAATCGAAACCAGAAATCACAGATCACCAAACATAAAAAAAAAAATTATTAAAAAAAATCATCGAAAAGATGAGAGAATTTTTTTTCATCAACCTACGAAGACAACTACTTATCGTCTCTTCTGGATCTCGTGAGGGTCGAACCACTGAATCGTGGTCACTGAATCATGGTCGTCGTCCACCTCCTCCAAGACCCAAACCTGATCTCTGTTATAGATCGAATCACATGGAGTTCCAAGCTCCGTTCCCGAATCAGGTCCACGATCTCTTATCAATTTTATTTCTCTTATCAATTTCATTTCATTGATTATTTTGAGGTTTAATATGGTTTGCATTATTCCTGGGTATGTGTTTTTGTTGTTGCATCTTTGAAAAAATTAATTTACTTGCCTCTGATGCGGAAGAATACTGTTTGTTTTGCTGCATCTTTGAAAAAATTAATTTACCTGCCTCTGATGCGGAAGAACTGAAGATGAGTATCTTTGTTCTTTGTTGTGATTATTTGCATCTCTGTTAGAAAAATACTGTTATGTTATGATTGTACTTCAATTTGAATGCTAATTTTTCTTTTATTGTCATGCATATATTTGTACTCTCCTAATTTGTTAAGTACAATTGGGAAAGAATATTGTGACAACTAAGTTGTGTTACTACTAAGTGACTGATCGATTATATTGATCCAACGGTTATATTTATTTCCATCTTTGTATGGTCATGATTCCCCAAATTTAATACTTTATATTTATTTTCACCTTTGTATGGTTATGATTTCTCATATTTAACGTTTTCACTTTAAATATGGGGAATCATGACCATACAAAGATGGAAATAAATATAACCGTTGGATCAACATAATCGATCTAACGGTGAGATTGATTGGTAATCATAACACAACTTGTCACAATATCCTTCCCAGTACAATTTATTTATTTATTTTTGTTTTGTTTTCTATACCCTGTATCCAAAGCAATATGGAAAGTAAGAATTATGAAACATACGTGAGCATTTTTTTTTTCTTATGTTGGGTTTGTGATATATTTCCTTAAGGGTGATATGTAGGTTTTTTTTTTTAATTGATAAACTTAGTATTACTTTTGCTTGAAATTATTTAAATTATTATGTGACATTTGAATGAATAGTCATAACCTCGTGATATAATAGTCTCTACCATCTAAGTATCAAAAGATATTTGAAAAAAAAATATATATATATATATATTCTTCAACTCCTCTTGAAGTTCCCGTGAATGCTTGAAAATCATTATTGGGTATTTGAAAATTATATATTATAGTTGCTGCATATGCAATGAATGTTAAAATCCTGTTGACCAT